TAGGCTTCTCTGGCATCAACTGTCAACTTGGTATGTCTATGGTTCCTTGCGTCATACTTTACTGAACCAGCAGCAGTGCAGTATTTCTGTAGTTTTGAGGGGGGCTGGTAGTCAATAGACAAAAATATTTGCAAAACCCAGGATCACTGGAATTTTGCAAAACCTTCAAAAATGTACTGGCTTATCCCCCTTACTTGGGAAGGGGCAGGGGGGCTAGACACCAATGAACTTTGGAATGCTGTTCACAGCAGACACTTTGGATGCACAGGTATACTTGCGCACCTTATACCTTCTGCATGGTCATTTCCTGTCGCAGAGGGCAGAATTTATATTAAAGAAAAAGGAAAAGAAACAGAACACAAAATGGAATCACTTGACTTTTTTCCCAGTGTTTTGTAAACCCATGGCTCCTTGACTCGGTGGGCTACTCAAAAGAGCCTATACCATTGTGCGCACTAGTTTACGTGTGCAAATGACACAGAGTGCACACAGTCATTTACTCTCATCTGAATATTCAGATCCAATTCAGTCCATTACTATCCCCAGATTAAACCACTGTTTTAAAACCATTTGGCACTCTATCATCTTTTTTGAAATCACATTTGTGATGGACTCACTACTAATTTTGAACAGGTAAAATCCCCAAGTTTTTATGAAGAAGACATAGCAATATTCTGTCCATAGCCACAGGGTCTTGGGGGCATGTCTTCCCTTGAGGTAGAAGGAGGCCTATTGGTAGAGTATGCAATTCCCAGTCAAAGATTTGAGATTTGAATCCAGCAGCAGGCAACATATTATGACCTCGGATGGATCACTTTACTCCAACCAGCCCCTCTCCACTCAATGCAGATGGGCACCGGTGAGGGCAGAGATAACTATGTGTGCTGATATGGGCTTGCCAACCGGTCTTGACTGATAAATGGGGTAGTAATTATAAAGTGCTTGGAAATCTTTAGCACAATGGCAAGTACTACATAAATCAGTACAGTTACCTTTTCCATGTTTGAACTGTTTTCGGCAGAGGCCGCACCAGAGTTGTAGTGACTTGAGTCACAAATATTGGTAATTGAACTCAAATTTCGATGGCTACATAAATGACATGAACTTGAGTCCTTCATCAGAAGACTTGACTTAAGTGAAAGTTAATAATACTTGAGTCCCCAAACTATAACCAAACTCCTTTGTAAAAAATATTTGCAATTATTCAGAGTACGAGTTAATGTTCATGTCATTTGTTATTGTTATCAAGAGAAAGATGTGGTGTGACCACATGTAGAAACCTACTCAACTTTATTTGAGTCACTATGTTACGATGTCTTGACTCAACTGGAGTCACTGCATTACAATGACTCAACTCAACGCAAGTCATAAAAATTAGCCTTGTCTCATCTCTGGTCTGCACTGGATAGTTGTTGAACAGCCGTAATACTTGAATCACTGACTAATACTTCAAATGATCAATGCGATGAATTTTACATGGAATCCCGTTTAGTACATTATCATACTCTTCTTCAGTGTATGAAAACTGTTTGAAATCATGTTGGAGTTAAGTGTATTTAAAAATACACTCTCTTTAAAATATATTTGTCTAAGCTTTTTAAGGCAAGTGAGGTCACTCTTCATATGGCATGTTCTAAATTTGAACCCCAAAGTGCTCTCTGAAAACATTGCTGAGCAACTGATGCTAGTTGGCTGATTTCTGTATACTCGAACAACAATATTGTTAAATATGGAAATTAACCACAATAAAATGTGTGAATGAGCATGGCATTCTTGAAGAAGAGATCCATCTGGTGTAAGGAACAAAGACCTTGTTTTGACTTTCTCAGCTCCAAACATAGTTTCTGTCCCTCGGAAAAAGCAATTTTAGACGAATTTTGTTGTTAGAATTATGTATTGCAAATTAAGAGGAATATTTGAGGATATTGTGATCCACACAATTTCACTCAAAAGAAGTTATTTCTTTATTTTTTTCTTACACAGTTGCCAATACATTGCCATCAGTGGTATTTCTTCTGGAAGGCATACATGTACAAATAATTTTTTCACAGTACACAGTGCGTGTGTGAGATAGAAGATTTCATCTGTGCACGTTGGGAATGGTTTCCAAATGGATTGAAGCTTTCATGTTTCCTGCTTTGACTTTTTCACAGGCCCATGTTCATCTAATCCGTGCGTCAACGGAGGGACATGTTCAGCCTCGGGTAACACATTCACCTGTACATGTCCTAGCGGGTTCACTGGAGTTACTTGCAATGTTCCCATCACAGGTAAATGGAGCAAGAAAAGCTTCCTGAAAGCTAAACTAGGGAGGGATCTCAATCAAAAGGTCATGTCTACCTTGGATAATACACGTACATCACGCTGAAAACTTAGGGTTAGTCAGGACACCAGAAGCAGCACTTTTTTGGGGGGATGGGTGTGGATGTGGGTGTGGTCCAGGATGAATTTTATACCTGTTTATTGGCCCATTTTAGACCGTTGGATCATGACTTAGAGGCTTGATGTTGACCCTCTATCTTGGTATTTTTTTCCTGGTTCCTACTTTGTGTGGAAACAAAGGAAAATGTGATTAATTCAGCAGAGCTTTAGCTGTAAAATAGTAAGATATTTGTAACTGGAAAATCTCCTGCATAAACTAATGCCCTCATTGGTGTGGTGGGAACCAGTGCAGCATTGCTTCAACGAAACTGTTGCCCTCAAGTGTACAAATTTCTGCCCTTTTCGTCTTTTACCATTGAGTATGACTCCTCCTTTTTCTGTTGAGATGGATTGGGGAGATGCTTAGGCATGTTACTCTGAGTTGGAGACACTGTGAAAAAGTGATGGTTGATAACCATGGCCAATGTTGGAAGAATTAAAACACAGGAAGGATTTGGTGGAGTCACAATGGCTATAAAGTCCGGTTTACTGGATAAAATTTATCTACTCTTTGAAATCACACTTCTGGTTTTAGATACAGTTGGGCGAGTGTTACCTCAGATCGTAGGGCTGACATTACTTACAGATATGTCTGAGTGTCCTGCAGAAAGGACCCTGAGAACTTCTGAGTTTAAGTCTTTTACCCAGAAAAAAAAGACTGACTAGGGGAGAAGAAAAAGGGTCATTTATACCTTTTTGTGAGGAGGAACTCTGGATAAGAATAGACTATGAGATCACTAAGATTACATAAACATTGCATCATTTCTTTGTCAGGGTGGACTGACATATAGGCTTTTACCAAGTTGGTCTTTTTTGACCCTGTACAAGGATGAACTCGGTATCTTGGTATGGTGTGTGTATCTAGCTTGGAAAAGGGAAATGATAACGTAAACACCCCAAGTAGGAAGTGTAAAATGTTTACAACTTGTTGACTGTACACCTTGAAGTTTTTTACTGTACACAAGGCTAGTGAATGATTTAAGTACACAGTTACACCCCTGCATGGTAGACA